TTTTTTTTTTTTTTTTTTTTTTTTTTTTTTTGTAATTTTCCAAATTTTCTACAGTGGCCACATGCTATTGTTAAATCAGGAAAAAAAAGTGACAAAAAAGAATAGAGGGAACCAGTACAGTCATATTTTTGAGAAATAATTGTTCTATAATGCTGTGTATTGTATATTCAATAGAATTTGTTTTATAAAACAAAAACTACAAGGAAAGACTGAAAAGCAAGATATAAAATTTTATCAGTGTTTATCTGTGGGAATATAGTTGATTTCATTTTCTTTTAAAAAATATTTTCTAAAAGAACATAGTACTTTTTTAAATTAGGGAAACATAATTGCATTTTTTAATTTGTACCTTTAGCCCCTCAACAAATGTATAATGGAACACCTACGAGGTAGGGTGTGTTGATTGGGAGACAGTCACCAGGTCATTCTTCCCAGGGCCTTCACACTGGGATCGGCCCTGACTTGGGCTGAGATGTCAGTCTGAGGTGCCTGAGAAGTCTGTCCAGCAGGAGCCTCATCTGAATCAGGATGGGGAAGACCAGAAGGGGTTAACTAGCTGAGCACCATGGGGAAGGGGAGGGCTGTACAAAGGCCCTGAGGCAGGGTGGAGAGACCCTGCTGGTGTAGGCCCAGCAAAAGTCTCAGTTTAGACAGGAGGGCAGCAAAGGCAACCCTATCTGCCAGGACACATGGTGCAGGTGGCAGTGGCTGATCAGCTGGCTTTCCCAGAGTCACTGCCTCAAAAGCCCACAGTTCTGAAGAGCTGTCTTTCTCTAGGCTGCCCTGCCATCTGGAAAAGTGTAAGACATGGGCTGGGGGTGGAACATTTCGAGAAGGGGAGTGTTCATTTATCAAGTGGCACGAAACACAGCAGGCCACAGACTCATTATTTGGTCTCTGACCTTTATCGACATATTAAGTGTCATCTCACACCTCTCCCGAGGGGGTTTTTGGAGGCCATTTCTACATCTTGACCCCAACTGCCTTTTCTCTGGGAGTAAGTCTGTCTCATAAGACTTCTCTGTCAGTCCTGCCCCTCCTGGGACTCCTGTAATGCCCAGGCTGTCCGGTTCCACTAAGGTGTCTTTAAACCCATATCTGGGCCACGCAGTCTGTCCATATAGGAGGCCGAATAAATATTATGTCTTGCATGTAGAAATATAGCTGTTTTCTGTGTCCATAGAGGTGCTGTGGTGATTAAAATGTCATGACTAAGCCTTCTAGAATTCCTACTTGCTTAAACCCCTTCCCCCACTGGGTATGGAACCCATGGCTTGCCATCCTGGGCAAGTGCCCTGAGACTGGGCCACATCCCCAAGGCCCCTTACGTATTGTTTTACTGGGTAGTAGAAGTACAGCAAGCAAGATAACACGTTGAATCTTATAAAAAAAAAAAAGGTGGGCCTGAGCTGGGCATGGTGGTACATACCTATAATCCCAGCACTCTGGGAGACTGAGGCAGGAGGATTGAAAGGTTGAACCCAGCCTGGGTAACTTATTTACTTTCCAAGATCCTGTTTCAAAATAGAAAATAAAAGAAAAGAGCTGGGGATGTAGCTTAGGGTGAAGACCCTGAGTTCAAGCCCTAGGACAGGAAAGAGGGAGGTATTGGGAAGTCATGTTCTGAGAGTCCAAAGCCTCTGGTTGGAGGTTGAGGTTGTCCCTTTCTGTGAGCTAAGATGTCAGGTCAGCCACAGAGGAGGTCTGGAAGGATGTTCACAGAAGCCGGCTACTTCTCTGTCACTTGGGCCCCTTTTGGCACAGCCCAGCACTTTTGAGTGTCCCTGGCTCTTGGCCAGCAGTTGCAGATTTTGGATGGCATCCCTGAGCTCTGGGATAGAGTTACACAATGTCCCTTGTCGCATCCACAATCTCTGCAGCTGACCGAGGTTTGAAGGACAGGTGGAGGTGTGCACACTGGGATCTCCAACTGCAGTCTCTCTGGGGAGGGGAAATCCCTCTGGGGCTGGAGCTGTCACAGCGGCTCAGAGGGCTGGGGACCCCTGGGGTCCTAACTTTGCCCCGGATATTTCCTTCTACAAAATAAACTTCTGGGCTGGAGCTGGAGCTCCAGGGCAGAACGCTACGAAGCCCTGTCTGTATTGGTACAGTGCTTGCATTTTAACCTGTCTGACAGGCAGTCACTGTGGACTGGCTCTACGCACTACCTTCTCCCGTTTTCTATTATAGACAGGCTGCAAACGCACAAGCTTGTGACCACCCAGACTCCCTTGTAGTTGGGGGTGCCCATGTGACCCAGATCTGGCCAACTGGATGTAAGGGGAAGAAGCTGCAGGGCAGTTTTTTTTTAACTTATTAATTATTTTGGCAGTCCTGTGGATTGAACCCAAGATCTTCACACACACTAGGCAAGTGCTGTACAGTTCAGTTACAGCCCCAGCCCGAGGGCAGGGTTTTTGAGAAAGTTTTTGACAAAGAGTTATCTCAACTGACGAGCCATTTTAGCCCTTTATCCTCCTTCCATCTTTCTGTCTGGAATGCAGACTTGATGCCTGGAGGGGCTCCGGCTATATTGTGATTATGAGGATGAAAGCAACATGTTGAAGATGCTAGGGGAGAGAGAGAGAGAGAAAAGGATATTGTTGAGTTGCCATACTAGTCCTAGAAAGCAATTCTCTTCGATTCTTTTTTGGGAGGCAAACAGTTCTCTAACCCGTTTAAGCGCATAGTTTGTTGGGTTTTCTGTAACTGTCCAAATGCTAATAATGTAGCATTTGTATGTCTAGATGACACTCATGATTCCATTCCAAAAGGATAGTATTTGTAGCTGTAGTTCACAGATGAGCAAACTGAGGCTCAGAAGGGTCACACAAACAAGGTCAGGCAGCTAGTTAGTCGCAGAGTGAGGGTTTAAGTGCAGGACTGCCTGATGCCAAATCCTTTCTATACTGCCTGCTTCTGGGGTATAGAGAACTCGTCACATCAGCTCAGTGGTGGAAACCAGTGTCTGAAGGGACAGAGATGTTTGGCGTGAGACTCCTGAGTAGCAGAGAGATTTTTCCTCATTACTATAATTGGCATTCTTGTCATGATCACAAACCTGCTCTCTGAATTGTGCCCCTCTAAAATCTATAGGTTGGAGTCCTAACCCCTAGTACCTGTCCCCTCCCTTCTCCTCCCCTCCCCCTCCTCTTTTTTTGTGATACTGGGGATGGAACACAGGGCCTTGCTCATGTTAGGTAAGTGCTATACCCCTGAGCTACACCCCAGCCTGCTTTAAGACTATTTTGAGGCAGAATCTCGCTAAGTTGCTCATGCTGGCCTTGAACTTGCTATCATCTTTTGGCCTCAGCTTGCCATAGTGCTGGGATTACAGGCATGTGCCACCATATCCGACTCTACCACTCATATGAACCGTCCTCTTGCCTGTGTGCTAGCCAGCTGTCATTCCCCTGGGTGATAAACCACCCCACAGCTGTGACAGGGACACCACGATGTATTCACCAGCACGTATCTGCTGGCTGGTGAGGTCTGGCTTTGAGCTGCGGGCTCGGGCTAGTGCTGCTCCCTGTGTCTGTCATCCTTTCTGGACCTTTGAGCTATCCAGGCCACCTTCTTATGGTGGTGGCACAAACACCAGAGGCCAAGTCAGCCGTGCCAGCATAGTTCAGTCTGTTGACGCGTCATTGGCCAGGCCAGGCCATGTGGTCCAGCAATACAGCCCAACAGTGTAAACTCTGTCCACAGAGGGAGGGAGAGGGGGCAAGGCACTAGTTAATTCAAACAAACGCCTTTCTCTCACTGTGGGCTTAGAACAAACCAAGAGTCTCCTGCCTATCTGCCTCTGCCTAAGACTTCTCATTTCTTCTCATCCTATGTGTATTTTATTGCATTTTGCATACCTCCTTGAGGCCTTTGCCTTCTCAGCCTTCTGTCCCAATTAGCATGGTTTCAACTACTTGTAGTAGAAAAATTTAGCTCACCCTGGCT